TTCAATTCAATTTTATTTATATAGCGCCACATCACAACAACAGTTGTCTCACAGCGCTTTCCAAACAGAGCAGGTCAGACCCTACTCTGAAGTTAACTACAGAAACCCAACAATTCCCACCATGAGCAAGCACTAGGCGACACAGGCAAGGAAAAACTTCCTTTTAACAGGCAGAAACCTTGAGCAGAACCATGGCTCAGGGTGGGCGGCCATCTGCCTCGGCCGGTTGGGGGTGAGGGGAAAGAGAGAGCAAGAGAGAGAGAGAGAGGGCGAGAGAAGGACAGAAGGAGCAGAGAGACATGGAGAGGACTTTCAATTTGTTGGGAAAAACTACAGCTGCTCGCCATTTTGGAATAAATTCCAAAACTGTTATTGAACAAACATCTGTTTTGCTCATTTAGCTCACTTAAGAGAATGAGTTATTAACAGGTATTGATGTTCCAAGACACTCAAGGTAAGAGCAGGAATGCAGAACAATGATCTCAAAAGAAAAGGCAAGACATTTAACAAAGCAACAGTTATGGAGTTGAATGATTGGAGGTGAAGTCCTAACATGCAACATGATGGGCAACATGGACGGGAATCACTTTTCATCAACACAACAGAACATGACAGAGAGCTGGAGGCCAGAAAATTAAAGTAGCACAATTCTGGCGACATTTTAGCTTCAACTCGTGTAACATACTAAAGAAAAAGTGGTAAGATTAGCTTTTATATTGTCCCAATATATCACTATGGAAAGCTGGCTCTATAACATGACATTTTTTTACATTGCACTTTTTACCTACGAAAAAGCATCACTAGAAAAAACTAAATTGTGTGTGGTACAACTACTAAAATGAGTCATGTTAGCCATTTCGACCTTGACAAAACAACTGCAAATGTAACGTAAAGTCTTTTTTAGCCTGCCTGATCTCTCTTTGTGCTTTCCACTTTTTTACATGTTGACCCCATTAACATCAAGAGATAGGGCAGAAGGGATACCCTTGTGTTGAAACGAGCATCCCACAGCCAAATTGAAACTTAAGTAAACTACTTACTATTTAAAACCGGTCCAACATTAGAGGAGGTTTCTGGGCTTCTTGTTGAAACTGACATGTATGTAAAAATACTGACAAATTTTCCTTGAAAGACGCAATTTTCTTTTTTGTCTTATTTTTCAAAGAATAAAACAGAACTCAGACTGATCAACAGTAGAACCTCTACATATGAATTGAAATCGTCCGGGACCTACTTCGTGTGTTAAAATATTTGTATGTTGGTTCAAATATTCCCATAACAGTACATTGTAATTCGTATAATTTGTTCCACAGCCCAAAAACCTACGATAACTCCTTAATAAATACTACTGTATGGATAATCACACGTAGCAATGAAACAAATGCATTATAGAAGAGAGATGTAAACAGATATAAATTATAACGAAATAATCAATGAAGAGTTTTTTTTATTGGCACTTTACCTCGGAGACTGGCGAACAGAGGTGTAGGCTTGGCAATGCAGGAGGACACGGAGGAGACAATCGGTACGGAGGTAGAGGTGGTGACTGAGATACAGCACGTACTGTAACTTAATTTAACTTTCACTGATAGAACTTTAAACTCACTTAGCTTATCTATTTTTATTCAATTCTTATATTTTCTATTTTCTTTTCTATTTTTCTGATTTTTGAATTCTAACTTACATTACGTAAACTTAAAACAACTTATCCGTAGCTTGTTTTAATTTAACATTTATAGATATATCTATATTTTTTCTATTATTCTGATTTTGTCAAATCTAACTTACATAACGTTAGCTTATTTTTCATTTTTATATTTTTCTTTGTTTTATGTTTTCTTTTTAATTTTCATCTTCAGCCCCTTCACTTTCACCTATTTCAATCTTTATTTTCTTTACTTCACTTTCTTCTTCACAATCACTAGACTGCCTTGTAGGTTTTTGGAAGAAAGTATCTAAAGATGTGTGCTTGTTACGGCTTTTCAGAATGTTTCTGAAATGGGTCAAGCAGACATTGTTGAATTGTGAAGCCGTACGGCAAACCTGAAGTTTTTGTGGGTGATGCTTCTCAACGAAGTCCACCACCTGTTGATGATATCCTAACATCCGCTTGATCTCAGCCGTACTTATGACATCCTCGACGTCCTCCTCCGTCTCACTCAACTGCGCGTGGATCTGAGACTTCTGCATCGCCTCCAGCTCCTTGAGTTCATCGGTGGTGAGCTCTTCATGATGCTCCTCGACGAGTTCAGTGATGTCGTCTTCATCGACATCCAGACCCATGGACTTGCCAATAGATACAATCTCTTCCACGTCAGGCTCTGGATGAGGCACAGGTTCACAGCCTTCAAAATCTCGAGGAGCAACGGCATCAGGCCAAAGCTTCTTCCAAGCAGAATTAAGGGTTAGTCGAGTCACTCCCTCCCAAGCCTGACCAATGATCTTCAAGCAGTGTACAATATTAAAATGTCTCCTCCAATATTTAAGCAAAGTCAAGTTGGCACTTTGCGTGACGTCAAAGCACTGCTTAAACAAGTACTTGGTATAAAGCTTCTTAAAATTAGAGATGACTTGCTGGCCCATGGGCTGGAGGATAGGGGTGGTGTTCGGTGGAAGATACAGCACTTTGATAAACTTGAACTCGTCGAAGATGTCATCTTCGAGTCCTGGGGGGTGAGCGGGGGCCTTATCCAAACACAGCAAGCACTTCAAAGGCAAATTGTTTTCTTGAAGGTACTTCTTGACAGCGGGGCCAAAAACTTGATTAACCCATTCAACAAAGATGAGCCTAGTAACCCAAGCCTTAGCATTAGCACGCCAGAAAACTTGCAGCAAGTCCTTATTGACTTTATGAGCCTTAAATGCCCTAGGGTTTTCTGAATGGTAAACCAATAACGGCTTGATTTTGCAATCCCCGCTGGCGTTGGCACACAGGGCAAGAGTCAACCGATCCTTCATAGGCTTATGTCCAGGCATTTTCTTCTCTTCGGCGGTGATATATGTTCGACGAGGCATTTTTTTCCAAAAAAGTCCGGTCTCATCGCAGTTGAACACCTGTTGTGTTACGTAGCCTTCTTCGTTCAGGATATTTTCAAATTCCTTAATAAATTGGTTGGCAGCCTTTGTGTCTGAACTTGAGGGGTCCCCATGCCGTACAACTGAATGTATCCCGGCCCGTTTCTTGAATTTCTCGAACCAACCACGAGACGCCTTGAATTTCTCTGTTGTCGGATCGGTTGAACTTTTCCCCGCATCAACCCCGGAGCCCGAGGCCTTCAAGTCGCAAAAGATGGTGCTGGCCTTATCACATATGATCGTTTCCGTGATCGTATCGCCAGCAATTTCCTTGTCCTTTATCCATATAAGCAAAAGGCGCTCCATGTCATCCAGGGTAGGGCTGCGACGTTTAGAGATGATGGTGATCCCCTTGGATGGTCTGACCGCTTTGATGGCTTCCTTTTGCTTAATTATCGTCGAGATCGTAGACATGTTCCGGCCATATTCTTTAGCCAGATCACTCACGCGCACACCGCGCTCATGCTTTTTTATGATTTCTTGCTTTAATTCCAAGGAAAGCATTGCCTTCTTCCTTTTTTCACCACTATTAGTACTCGCCCTAACCTTGTTGGAGCCCAGGCTGATAAAATAAAGAAGGAAATATGAAAAGGAAGGCATTAAGCACCGTTAATTTCGATCCAAACACACGATGTGAAGGAGAACTGCTAACTAACCTGCGCAACGCTTCGACCTCATACATTTGCTTCGGGTGTCGAGACGAATATTTGATCGAATTTTATTTCGGACATTGGAAAATTCATATGTTTAGGCAATCGTATGTAGAGGTTCTACTTTATTTGTATTTATAGAAGAAAAGGAAGCTATGTGTGTTGTATTTAGCCATATTAGGACCTGGATAAAAGACATTGAGATAGATATTTTCTTAAGGGGTGAATCGTACTCTCATCAACAAATATACACAATACAATTGTTTTAAGGTAGGCTTACAGTCTTAAGAACCTGCAAGTGATGGCACTGACTTACTTGCAGCTAAGGCAGACGGAGGAACAAGTGAAGTACTCGTCTGGAAAGAAGGAGTACAGCGTCATCTTGTCGTCTGACAGTTCCCCGCAGAAACGCTCACTTAGAGCCTGAAAGACACCAAAAGAGGAATTAGAGGGTGGAAATGTGGACATAAAACCAGATGAGAGCTAAAGGGGAGATTAAGAGAGACTACCCCACAGACAAAAAAAGAGGCAAATTCTCTTTCATCCATCTGTTAAAGGTCTAAGATTGCAGTCTGCTACTTACCTCCAGAGCATGAAATACTATCCCGGGCTGGCGGGGGGAGCGAGTGTGAGTGTTCCTCACTTGCTGCCTGACGGCGTCCAGCAGCCTGTTGTAGTCTGTCGGGGGGGTGATGGTCTGAGTGCCTACGTACTGCACTGAGCTAAAGGCCTCAGTCCCCAGACCAAGGTCATGGAAACGCTTCTGGAGCTGCATGTCGGATTGACCGGAGTCTACATCACAGAGGGAACCCAGTGAAAGTTGAGGGAGGAGAACAAAAAAAGGCAAAACACACAAAAAAACAACAACCCAGATATGGTTTATGGTTTTCCTTTTCCCTACCATGGCCCAGAAGTTGAGTGTGCGTTGTCTCTTGAAAGACAATGACAGCCGGTCCAAGGGAGGACAGGGGCACGTCCAGGCCACAGCGGGTGGACAAGGCCCTCAGCTCCTGGCTGAAATGCTTCAGGTAGGCCACTGAGGCACTGCTCAGGAAGTGGAACATGTCGTTGTGAAGGCGCTCTGCTCGTGTGCGATAGATGACTATGTCAGACACTGCCAAAACCTGTGGATGACACAAGACAATGCAAATAGCAGTTAAAGGACATGAAATTATGCAAACCTGTCTCTTGCTGGTTAGTATCCTAAATTTTATGCGAGTGACTTCCCCAACAAGGGACGAAAGCTTCAGGTTTAACCGCTTTGGGGTAGTTTTTTTATCTTTATTAGTGAATTATCAGGTTTCTTTTTGAGGGACTGTGAACAGTGACTTCTAAAATATTTGAAAAGAGGGCCAGGCCTTCTTTTCAATCACAGATCTTAAAGCAGAGGGACTTTGCTCGTCACTGATCTGACATTAAAGAAGCTTGTACCACTTGTAAGGACAGATGAAAAGAGTGGCTTAAGCTTAATTGAATTCAAACACTGGCTGACACTTATGCTTACTCTGAATCTTATTTCTATTATGTGTTTAAGTATATCACTAGGTGTTCCAGATCAGACGCTGGTTTAAAGAGTGGACCTTGCTGGGTTTGGGTTTTAATCTGATATGGATAACTGACAAATGGCAAGGTGAGGTTGTTTTTTTATTATAATTCATATTTACAAATTTTCGTCTAACAATTCTAATTTCCCAAGAAACTGAAGTTGAGATATTTCCTGTCTCTGTGTTTTACTATTTTATCAAATAAAACAGCTGAATGAATGACAACGATGCCTTTACACAGGAGTTGCACATACTGTATCTGTGATTACTCTTGTGTACTGGTTCACAATTTACCTTCCCAGTACGAGATAAAATGATGAAAATGCCGTTCTAAAACTGCAAAAATAGGAAACTTGGTTTCACATGTCAAAGGTCGAAAATGTAACTTATTGCAAAATGACAGAACAGGACAGAATGAATATTGAGAATAAAAAAATAGTCATTCACTCAGTTTTCACATTATGCTCAGAATAAACCTACAATTTGCTCGGAATTTTTCAGCTCACTGACAATTGTGGAGTAATTTTTAAAAACATCTCCTTGTAACTTAAAACTTAAGGCAGCAAGACTATAGCTTAAACTTCTCTGTAAGTATTGACTCCACTGCTGGAAATTTCTCCACAGTTGATTATCTCAGAATGAGGAATGCGACATATTTATCTTATTTACAGATTTGTGCAAACACAATGTGTGCATGTCTATACATTAAACGAGCCACCATCAGTTCCAGACATGTATGGTCATGAAGTCTGTTAACATAATTTTTTTCTGTCTTTCCAAAAGCAGATTGAAAATGTACTGCCACCCTAAGCCTGTCAAGTTTCCTGAATAGCATGGACAATCCTTCATTTGTAATTAAAATGATATTTCTTTGTTAAAAAAAGGTAGGTTTGAAATCATTCTCAGGGTAGCAGGATGTGGACCGATGCCCATCTCACTAGTATTCTGACAGATGTTTTTTAGTTATAACTATATTTTCCAAAAAGAACAACTCTGAAAAGTGTTTCAAACACACAACGCAATAAATATATCAATGCATGACAAAACGAACTCTGTATGAATTATTCGAGAGCACGACGCAGGAAAATATCCTTTGATTTTCAATACTAAATTTCCTGGGAAATTTCCCAGATGAGACCGGAATGGAATGATCTCAAGTTAAAAGCTAGAAAAGAGTGCACATCTTTTGCAGGATGCCAAAATGTCATTCAGGATCTATGACAACACAGGTGTGACGGCATAGTAATTCAAAGCTTCATACATTAGTATAATTTCAAGAAATGAACAAGGAGGTGTGGAACAATAGATTTACCTTCAGCAACAGTCGCATTCTCTGGTTTTGGTTGGCTGCTGCTCCCAACAGGCCTTCTGTATCCAGGGCGACAAGGCTGAGAGCGGGATTGTAGGCAGCCCACACCCCAACCGTGCAGGAGCTTGGAGACTTGGAGGTGTAGAATACACTCTCGCCGCTAAACAGGATGTGGTTAAGCGTATGGGACTTGCCGTCGCCGGTGTTGCCAAAGATGGACAGGACCTTGACACCTGCAACATCTGCGCAGCCAAGTTTTTCCACAAACTCAGCCTCATCGTGGACCTAGAGGGACGAGGAAAACGGGTGAATAACTTGACCACTTTAACATGACATGGCTCTCTTAATGACTTGATTTAATAGAACTTACATAACATAAAAATGGCTGTCAAACTGAAGATAAAAGTGAACTAATAAACAGGGTTGTTTATTAGGGTTGCTGACATTCTTATACCAGAAACCACAGCTTCATTTATCACAAAAGTCTGCTAAACCCCTGCCCTTTGAGCAACAGTAGCACAACACAACGTGAGGTTGCCTCCCTGCGGGTCAGCTGTGTATCATGACTCACCAGGGAATTCCCCAATGACAGGCCATTGTGCTGGTTTACCTTGTTCAGCCTTTTGTTGAGTAATACGATTTTCTATCTGTTAAAATGCATTAATATTAAGAGATGAGCAACGCCACAGCAATAGCCAGGAAGGGGATACAGTGCTGTCAAGCTTCCTGTCTTGAGTTAAGAACGTAAACAAATCAACTTAAGTGTTCTGAAAGCTTCAATGGCTCACTAACGAGCAATAGCATTGCTCATTTCGCTAAAACTAACCAGTGGCCGTCATTAAAGACTGTGAAACATACTCCTCCGCCTAGCAGCTAGCTGTTAGCGGCTATTAGCTCAGCTGACGTTAGCTTATCTTACCTGCAGGTTTTCTTGTTCGTCCACAAGCAAGAAGCTCCGAGGGGCATCGCTGCACACCTCTGGCTTCACTACACCTGTCAAAATACTATCCATTTCCTTCAATAATATTTCGGACATCTTCTTTGAAGTACTTAAGACATATTTGTGACGGCGAAAGGCAAAACGAAAGTTCAGCGTGACTCCTGCCAAACAACAACGCGTGCACAGCTGACGCATTCGGGGGAGGGGCCAAGGAGAACGTCGAGCGATGACGTAAAACGCATTGTTTACAGATTTGCTTGGGTCATCAGCACCACCGTGTGGCCGAATTATAGCACAGCAAGCAGCCCTGCCATTCATGAAAACTCAACAATCCGCGAATGGCAAAGAATACAATGAATTGAGTTGAACCATGTGCGCGTCCACGAGCAGACCGCTCACACAATTTCACTTTAAAATGGCTTATATAAAAAAAGCATGCCAAATTTGTTTATAAAAAATATTCAAAACGTTTAGCAATGTTGATACACATTCCTACAAAAAAGCTTGTTCATAATTAAAGCAATTCGAATGAAATCAAAGTTTCCATTCATCTGTCAGGGTGCGTTTTGTTGGATTGGCCCTACCATGTAAGAGCTGCTGGCTAATGTTCATTAAATATTTGTTAGCACAGATCTATAAATATCACATGTCACTGAATGGCTTCAGAGAGGCGCCACTGCTGCTAACATGACACAGAGATAGACTTTCCAGCATCAGTGTTCATCAACTGCCTCAACAGACCTTGCCGGAATGTAAAGGACTTTTGCCTCCGCATATATTTCCCTCCTGTACATAGGAGCCTATATGCAGTAGGCTAGTAAGATATAGAGCACAAGAAATACAAATCTTGGTTGTAGAATGTGACACATTTGTCTGTAGCCCACGTGAAACGAGAGCGCTGTGTGGGCTGGAACCAGCAACAGGCAAAAATATAAATAAACAAATAAATAAATGAAAGACGCGAAGCTCGTAACAAAAGAGACAGTCGTCGTAGGGTTGAGAGACAAATAACTGGAAGACTCAGTTATGGGCCCACTCCCAACCCCTCCACCCCTGATAAATTAATTATTAAAGCCGCTCAACGCAGGGCATGGCAAAGATACTATGTGATTAAGCCTGTGCCTGTCTACATTCCATAAGATTAAATGCTAAATGAACTTACTTAATACAATATAATAATCACAAATTATAGAATAAATACTTATGTTTAGTTAAACATATTAAAAATAAATGATTAGTTACTCTTTATCGTAAACTTAAAGATGATACCCGAATTTCATTCGCGCGCAGCCAGAACTTTAAAATAAACGTTGAGATTGCAAAGAAGAGGTGAAGTTATGAGTACTTTACACCATATTTCTCAGTTTTAAAAAAACATATATTGATCAGAAGCTACGACTTCTGAAACCATAGCCGATCAAAACATTTCCCATCATCATCCAAAGGCTTTAACGCGTCGATGTCAATGTTGGTGGGGGCCAACTCCCAGCCCCAATCTGACTGGTCCTTGCAATATATACATATCTGTAGACATTACTCCCCCCCCCCCCGTGTTAATTTGGATTGGGAGAGGGGGAGGGGGGTGCTCCTACAAGTTCGAGGCGGGTCCGTGGGTTACAGAAACCGCTATCCCCGCCGGTACTTGTAGTACGCTCAGCCCCCATGTGTTTCATGTTGACATGCGTAAAAGACTACACTTCCCCAAAGCTGTCACGGAGCGCTCCCGCCTGCCATTGGCTGCCCACTCCAGCCGCAGCCCCAGAGAATGAATGAAATTGAAATAGCTGCTACAGTACATGTACAATACCGGGCTCTGCAGTGTTGCATTCTATCATACTATATCAAAATGGCCACAGCGATACAGAACCCCCTCAAATCGTAAGTACAGCGCATTTCTTCAGCGTCTGCGGTTTTTCCCCCTGTGTTTGTGCATGCTGTCAGTGAAATTTCAGCGCCTTAAATTATGTGATGATTCTCAGCATGGTTATCTACACGTCTGTACGAGCAATTCATACAGCAGAGAGTAAAATAATGTCAGAGAATCAGCCTGGAAGAAAAAACTTGATCTGAAAGCGAATGGTTTGGAGAGGTTTTGGAATGAGAAATGCGTTATCGTGAGCTCCTTTGCAATTCGTCAAAATCAGCTTCCTGAGCCAACAGCGGCGTGTGTGTAGGGATATGGAGGAATGCTGGAGGTATGATTTGGGTGACCCGGTATGTCCCTTGTCGGTGTAGACACAACCACAAGACCACGGTCAAAGCTTTGCCGAGGTGGCGGGCTGCTCGGATCACAGATAGGTTTACTGTACCTGTGTGCACATTTTTCCGGAGAGAAGAGGGATGAATGAGAGAGAAGCAAAGGTTTTTGGCTGCAGCGTTACCTATCGGACCCCTCGTAGATGGATGGGCAGAGGTAGAGACACTGGACAGAGACTCGCGCTGGACTTCCGCGCTCAGAACTAATCGCATTCCTACGCTTTACGCAAACCTATACAATCGCAAAATAACATTTATCATATGAAGGGGGGGATTCAATCCTGCCGATGCACTGTGAAGTTTCCTCAGAAATGATCTGCTTTGCGCAGGGTTTTTTTTAAATCTCTATCTTTTTTTTTTTGGAGTCTGCTTTCAGCGGAATGCAGAGACGCTGGCTGCTGCCCGTCTGGGCTCCCGGCCAGAAAGGTGGCTGGTGTGCGTTTGTCAGCGTGTACTTAACACTAATCCAGTCAAAATAACCCTCAATAGCCCCAATATCAAGCTACCGTGACGCGCTGGAGCACATAACCGCTCCGGCTTTGGCAGTTTGAAACAAAGAAAAGTCTCGAGACCTGTGCGCTATACGGCTGGGGGCATCACGTTGGATTACCTGAACAGAGATACAGACTGTTTGCCTATCTGCATCTCTGCGAGCCTTTTCAGTACAGACACAGGCGGCATTTCACCATGTACGTGCCTGCTCTGAAGAACACTTAACAGAGAAGAGGAAGCCAAATACATACCAATGGTGCTGATTGGGGAACTGCTCTGATTGGCTGTGATGGTATTCTAATGTTTTGGTTTAGTGCATTAAAAAATACGGCACAGATCTTAATGATGCTTGATATAGAATATAAAGCGATTCATTTCCAGTTTATGGCATAAAGGAGCTGGTTTGTGGCAGCGTGGCACCATGATGGGACAGCACAGGGCAGGTGAAGTGGACGGGAGGCTGCGCGTTGAACCTTTGAGAGTAATGCTTCTTTCTTCCTTCTTTCCTCTACCCCCTTTTTTTCTTCCATGGCATGCTCATTCAAGCAAAGTGAAAGTATGGCCAGATTGCTCCCAGAGCCCCTCAGTGAAACCATGTCAGGGGATTAAATTGACTGATTTGCATAGGGTATATGCCAGGACGGAGAGGGAGCAGAGGTTGTGCCGTGGAGAGGAGAAAAAGGATAGCAGAGGAAACGGTGGGGCTCAGAGTCTGTGACAAACACAAGAGTGAGACCTTTGAGACATTGATTTTTAAGTGCTGTAAGTCAGACAAAGGGAAGGGAAAATGAAACATACAACAAAGCAGCTCCATTTTCAGACTATATTTACTCTGTGGGAATGTGCATCATTTCAGCTCTGCATCTGTGAAAATGTAAAGCCTGGATCTATTTATCACAGACATTTTCACTATAATGTAAAATAATAATTGGAATCGTTACTTAGAATAGCTTTACGTCTAGATACCTGACTGAAATGAGCTTTTGAACTAGCCCTTTATAATTATTGTGTCTACAAACAAATCTGGTCTCAAATTAGAGGCATTTTTAAAAAACAAAACAAAAGGTGGTTCAAAGTCAGCCCTAACAAGGTGCCTGCGGGCCATAAGAAAAGGCGATGCCTTTTTTTTGTCTCTAGCTATCTTAAAAGATTGTTGCATCTCAGCAATAAATGACAATCAAATCTGCGTGTGTTAACTCTTACTGATGCTTCGCATCCAGCCGAGCGTGAGTGGGCCTCACAGCGAACTATGCAGCATGATCGCCAGCTGACGTGCGTGGAAGTGGAAGTTCAGTGGGAGCTTCAGAGGCAAATCAGCGGAGAAGAGCAGCTAGCTCAAATCTACTGTGCATTTCCCTACCAGGCTGTCTATCTCTCTGCTGGATTACAGAATGATTTAATCTCTCTTTCTGTCCTTTTTCCTCTGCTTCTCTCTCCTCTCCCTTCTTCTCTCCCGTCATCTCTGCTGCGCCCCCCCCCCTACATTTCTTCATCACTTTTTCTACCCATCACTTGTTACCACCCCTCCTTTATATTCAGCCATTTCCTCTCAGTCTTGCCTCCTTCTTCCCATCTTCTTGGCCTCAACCCATGGAAGCCCCCCCACCCCTTCTACTTCCACCACACTTCTCTCCACTTTGAATCAATGTCATGTTGCCATTTTGATATTCAGCAGAAACACACTTGGGAAGTTTCTATGTGTTTTTCTCAGATCCCTTTAAATCTTTTTAGATAGCTTATACTTAAGAGTTCCTTTAGAGGGATTTACTGTAGATTTCAACAATCTACTCAGAGTGGGTTCACTTCCTACTGTTACCAAACGGTGTGGCTTTTCAAATTTGGGGCCTCGCTAAAAGAACACAAATATAGAGAGTTATAAATGCGAACATTCAATTTGGATGGAAAGGGTTGTGACATTCTTCTGAAATGACAACATATTATGAACAAAGAGCAATTCAATTAAGCACTCTGGCTTTATGTCAATCAAATTAAAGGCAGAATTTTTCAAAATTGCATTGGATGTCGCATATTTCTTTTGCAATATTACTCTTTTGTGCTAGTTAGAGAGTGAGATGCAGATAAGCGTGTGCTGGGGTATTGAAGGCAGTTGTGGCAGGGCTTGTGTAATATTATTTCTGCCCTGCCTGACTGAGCCGAGCTAAATGAGTTCCATGTAATAACCGGCTCTGTGTGCAAACAGCCCCACGTCACGGCAGAAGCCACAGCCTGAGCATCCATTTCCAGATCTTTCTTTCCCCCTTTCATTCTCTCAGTCACCGGTGTCTATACCGGCACGCTAACACTAATGCACAGATAGAGAAACGCGCACACTGTTGCACTTGCTCTTT